TCACTGTTACGAAATGTTTTGCATTCAGAACTTTGTACTTCTATATTATTTTTTCTTAAAAAAGCTTGTGTTTTACGTTTGAAATTGGCACAGACAGTGCCTAATACAGCAGCCGAGTCTTGCTGTACGCAAACGCGTGTATTTTTATTTGTGATCCCCGCTGGTTTTGACGCAACAGCGTTTTCTCAGTCGAATGAACACTGTCAGTCGCTTTTCTAATTTTTACAGGTAATAGCCCTGCCAAAAAAACTTTAGCTGACCTGTCTCAAAACTCTGCACAACGTTCCGTTATTCTTACCATAGCGGCTGAGGCAGAGCAAGCTTTTATGTAATTTGGTTTGAAGAATATTCCCCTATGTGTTACCTCTCTTTGTTTAACTTACTTAGGCGTACGAGGGATGAGTTGACAATTGCGTTGCATTATAGAAATCCTGTAATGTAGCCTGCAGTATATGAATGCAAAACAGCGTCAATGTATTTGACCGAACAGCAGTTTATTGAAAGCACAAGCGAAGATTCTTTTACGTACATGTGTTAAGCATTGATATCTATATGAACATTTGCTATAATATTTTGACTGTGACTGTCGATTCCTCACGACGAGGTTTAGCTGTGGATCTTAGAGATTAAATCAATGTATAGTTCCTGCTAAGGCTTTCTTTCCTCATTCGACTTTGAGCTCAGCAAAGTTTTAATGTTTTGTAATAATTACGTCTGTTTATAAATTATTTTGCGGTACACATCCGTTAGATGCGTACCTTCCATTATCAATCTTATTTTTATTTATGCGATACATGAATAATTTGTTTTAAGATCCAGTTTTTATGACTTTTTATGTAATTTGAAGTGTTGAAAGTTTCTTTTAAGGAAAATATCATAGCCGATTTCGACCTGAATAACCTCTATCAACACTGCATTAGTCGATCTTCCGGTCAGAACAAGAAGCAGTCGCATACCAAGCAAGAGTGATTCTGCGCTTGAGGTTGTTCTTCGTCTGTGCTGCGGCTTGAAGCCAGGCTTCGTCATAGCTTTTCATCACAAGTGACTTTGTATGAAAGGTTTCTTCGTTCATCTGCTACGTTTTGTCATTAGTCTTGGAACAGTGGGAAAGGATGCCTTTCAATTTCAGAAGCTTTTGAAGTTTAAGGCGATGTGGCATGGCTGGATACCAGCATGGGCATTCTCTTAATTGGCGTGTTTTCGTACCAAAGGTTTTTGTTGTAGCACGCTGTCTTTATGTTTTGTTGCACTAGGTATCAAAATAGGATTGTGGATTCCGTTGCACAACTTGATAAGTTGGTATGTAATATTGCTATTAAACTTTTTGCTACAATGTGAATACCATACCATGGCAAGGAAGCTAATGACTCTATCTTTAATTGATGTAGTTGATTTAAAGATATATTTGATTATCAGACATTCGATGTCAGTTTGATGTTCAGCTGTTATAACAAAGGGTCCATTCGTTATCTAAGCTACTGTCTAGCTTTATGTCGTATAATTGATAGGTTGGTTGACCGGGTCCATTGCTTCCTTATTCAGTTAATTTTTGGAACACTGACCTCTCAGTGGGTAGTGTTCAGTTCGCTTTAGGACTTAACATGATGAAAGCCATGAGGTGGCAGTCATCTTTCAGTATAATGCTTCCATGTTGAAAGTCATTAAACAGAGGTTTCACTGGCAT